TATTATTAGGTGAACCAATGGAAATTGCAACCAACAAGTGACCAACCAATGTTAATAAGCTACTACACGTATCATTTAATGCCAATATTAGAAAATTGGAAATGCAAGACAATGACGTCCTTGAATTGCATGGGCATGTTACAGTTAGAGCATATAATAAAGTTGGAAATTAATGTACATGGACCATGAACCTCATTACTATGTGCTTTAATAGATAAGTTTGTTTACCAAACAAGAGTGACTCTTCAAATGAGAAGTTAGATAGGAGTTGCAATTTGAGAGAAATGTTTTTTTTACCTTGACGTTTGATGTTGAAATTAGTGGTGCATGTAATTTATAAATAGATTAATGGGTATACTTGACAATTAATGAGGGGGTTCCCTTCTTAACAATGATATGACACAACCCATACCTTGTAAAATTCTCTCTCCTACTTTATTCACTCTCCTTCACATGGTGGGGATTGTTTTATATCATTGTCAAGGAAGAAAATCTCATCCTTATCAAGAATACTCATTAATCTTATTTATAAAAGCCCATATCAATGTGTAATCCACGCCAACTATATATTATAATTTTCACTAGTTTTTATACTATACGATACGAACACTGCGCGCTTCAACTGCATCGAAAGTCATAGGTCTCTAAGAATTTCTTTTTTTTCTTGGTCTTGTAGTTAAAAATAATATAAACAACGAGATTAGTTAATATTGATGTATTCTCTATCTTCCGTTCATATAAAACAACGAGATTAGTTAATATTGCTGTATTCTCTATCTTCCGTTCATAAAAAACAACGAGATTAGTTAATATTGCTTTAATTTCTATGTTTCGTTCATCTCCCGAGAGAATCGTAGGCTTCATGCTTAAATATAGGGGAAAATGCTTCCAACCCCCAAAATCAAAGAAAACATGCTCCTAAGACTTTTTCAACGGTGCTTTGCTCCTAAATATAAACTTTTTGTTCTCTGAGCCCTTAAAACACAAAACCCAAGAGATTAAATTATGTGAAGACCATAATATCCTTCTCCCTCTCTTTATCATGATGTTACTGTGATGATTTTAACTGGTTTTTTTTTTTTGGGGGGGGGGTTTTTTTTTTCTCTCTCTTTATCATGATGTTACTGTGATGATTTTAACTGGTTTTTTTTTTTTGGGGGGGGGGATTTCTAGTTCCCTCCAGCTCCGTCACCGACGTCACCGACCGATAATTCTTCAGCTGGTGCTCACCACCCGTGACACTAAAGTTGATCACGTGCCTATCGTCGTCGAGTACCTCCAGTCGTTCGGTGCTAGTGGAGGCGGGGACGCCGGAGATGACAGTCACCTCGCGTGTGCTGCTGATGGAGTGCCCGTCGCCGGAGGCGAGGCGGCAGGACTTGGTGAAGTGTTTGTAGCGTTAGGGGCGTCGAAGACGCGGATGATGGGCCAGATGGAGTTCATAGGGGCGTTGATGCATTGGGTCACGAGGGATGTGCACGTGCGGGGGGGAGATGCACGTGCCAGAGATGTGGTGGTGGGCGGTGATTGTGGGCTGGAGGGCTGAGAGCTCGACTGGGGTGAGGACGTGGAGTCCATGGGGGCTTTCAGCTTTTCAGTGGCGAAATGGAGTGCTTGCGTTGGAGGAATAGGGCTTTTTTCTATTTTTTATTATTTTCGTTGTTGATGAGGGGAATTAACGGTTTTGTTTGTATTAGGTGATTGTGAAAGTTACGGGTTAATTGTTAAGATTACGGGTTGATTGTTAAGGTTATGGGTTGATTGTTAAGGTTACGGGTTAGTTGTTAATGTTACGGGCTAGTTATTAAGGTTATGGTTCGGTTGTTAACGTTACGGGTTGGTTGTGAGGTTACACGTTGGGATATATATGTATATATATTTTGAGTGACATGAATATTTTTGGTCACTTGGCCTAGTGGTAAAGTTCGGGAGGTTGGACAAAAGGTTAGGGGTTCAAACCCCTACATCCACAACATATATTTAAGGCTCTTTGAATTCTAAAAATATTTTTAAAATATTCGTTGTTAAGGATAATGGTTGGTTGTGAATGTTATGCATTGATTGTGAATGTTACGAGTTTGTTGTTAAGGTTACGGGTTTGTTGTTACAGTTAAGGGTTTGTTGTTAAGGATAAGCGTTGGTTGTGAAGGTTACGCTTTGGTTATAAAGTTAACCTACACAACCAACCCGTAACCTTCACAACCAATCCGTAACCTTAACAATCAATCTGTAACATTCACAACTAACTCGTAACCTTAACAACTAACCCGTAACCTTCACAACCAATGCATAACATTCACAATCAACCCGACCCTCCCGTTCTTAATTATCAAGTCCTCCGTCGCCACCGCGTCGAACATATTCACGTTGGTCCGCATCAGCAGCTTGCTCATGATGGTGGAGGTGAAGAGGGCGGCGTGCTTTGATGACGATGTAATCCTCCTGCTCGTCGTAGGGGACCTCGAGCTCGTCGAGGAAGAGGTGGGCGGGCTAGCGGACGACCATAGCAGAGAAGAGCTGGCCGCCGAGCCAGGCGCCGCCGCCGGGGGAGACAGACTGCTCGATGATGGCGATGTTGATGTCAGGACGATGATAACGACGACATCGGTGTCGACGTAGGTGATCATGTCGGTCATGTAGCGGCGGGTCATCTCGCCGGAGATGATGGATTCTTTGATAGGGCAGAAGCAGAGGGAGGAGAGGTCATAGGAGGCACAGATTTGGGGGGTGGAGGATGACGATGATGGGAAGGAGAAAGATTGGGTTTTGAAGGCGGAGGAGAGCTTGAGGCCATGGGGGAGGAGGAGGAGAGGAGATTGCAGTCACTGGGTTTGGAGAGGAAGGAGGATGTGGCCATGGAGGGAATTACAGGTCGGTGACGTTGATGATGGAGCTAGAGAGAACTAGAAAATTTTCCCCCTAAAACCCAGTTGAAATCATCACAGTAACATCATGATAGAGAGAGAGAGAGAGAAGGATATTATGGTCTTCACATATTAAAATCTCTTGAAGAGGTTAGAAATTTAAGCAAGGCAAAAACACTCAATCTACTTTCAATGGAGTTTATTTCTAAATGAAAAACTAATTACAAACGTCATAACAAGT